AGTTTTATATGAATGGACATTTTCTTTTTCCTTGATTTTTTTTTTTTTTTTTTTAGTCAGCTGCTGTAGCTGGAATTCTATTTAGGCTCAAAAAGGATTATATAAACACTACCAGGACCCTTGCTGTATGTAACCTTATTTTATAATAATTGATTTTGGTCTTTTTTGTACAGGCATCTAACATGATTGATTACCATTATTTTGATGTCAGTCTGTCAGAACCCTCAAAGGGTATTCCCATTTTTTTTAGGGACAGATTCCGGAAGCCTATATCCCATTTTCTACCTTTTTTACACAATTAAAATGCTGCAAGGAAAAACAAAAAAATTCAACAAGTCTTAGTTTAAACAAATCAGAAATTGTTAAATTATTAACAAATCAAAGTATTATTAACAAACAAAACACATTAACAGTGGATGGCAAAAGAAGGCAGCAGTAATGCATGCGCTTCAGGTGATTTTAAGAAATAGCTGCTAAATGCACTAAAAAGAGAAAAACAAGCTGTAAAACCATGCTTTTAAAAAAAATAGATATCATAGAATGTTTCATCCATTTATTTTGAACATTCTGGTATTTCACTCGTAACATGTGTGAAAGCATGCTTTCCCTCGGCCTATTTGTGAGATTAAATATTTAGTTTGTGCCTTTTCTTGGCCTAATAGGACTGAGTTTAGAGAAATCTTGTACCAGAATCTAATGCTGGAATGTTTAAGGTAGAGATGACAGAGAGCAGTTGCCTCCTTACTCTAGACAAGGGTGAACTATAGATAACAAGCCCTCTAAGGTGCTTAAAGCTTCCTCATGCCATGAACAGAAGACAATTGTTTTCAAATGTTTATCTGGCCAGTGAAAGATATATAATAACAGGGAATGTCCTTGATGAACTGAAGTTGTTTTCCACCAAATGTTCAAGTGTGAGGAAGTTATGCAGTGCTGGGGTGGTTCCATGGGAGAGAGAGTGTGTTGGGATTTTTTTAAGGTATAAATGTGTGTGCTGGGGTTGCTCTATCTCTCCGTCTAAGGACATAAAATACATTTTAACTTTTTTCTTGAAAGAAATGCTTCTATCAGCCCACAGCATCAGGGATGCCCCACTGTGCCCAACAGTTAGCATGGGACGATTTTCCACAAATCCATCCAGGGTTTGTTATTAAAGCTCAGTAGACTTTAATAAATGGCTGATATTTGGGTTTATCATGGTAGAACAAGAAGTCATCCAATTATTCCTAAACAAGGCATGTCCCATGGTTGCAATGGGAACCTTTACACAGGCTCTTTGCTGCACTTCTTTGAGAGAGAGAGAGAGAAATTTAGAGGTTGATTTTCCTCACCCATCATCCTACTCTTTTTATGGTGAACATTTAAGTGTTAAATCTCATCCAGCCTGGTGGCCATTGGCTACATTTACTAGCTTCTGCTTCAATTCAGATTCACACCTTATGGTAAAAAGAAATCGTGGATAACAGAATGCTGTTTGGTGCAGAAATGATAGTTTGTTCATTGTGATAATTAAAAAAAAGTTCTTAATGTTTAAGGAGTGTTGGCCTAGTGGTTAGAGCTGTGCGCTTGGGCTCTGAGAAAGTTCCAAGCACCTGATTCGATCCCCACAGCCTGAAATTTGGGTTCCTGAGTAATCCAATCAATCCAATCCACTTTATTTATATAGCACGGTTTAAATAAACACAAGGTTTCCAAAGTGCTGCACAAAAAGATAAAATAACTAAAATAAATAAAAGTAAATAAAATAAAATAAAAGCACTGCGTAAGACCCTTAACCCCACACTGCTACCCGGGTGGCGCACAATGGCAGCCCACTGCTCCCCAAGGTGGATGGGTTAAATGCAGAGAGGGAATTTCTCCACTGTGAGATTAATAAAGTTCAATTCAATTATTTTGTTCCTCACTGATTAATACACTCAGAATAAATGTGTCTTACCCAGGTCTGGCTCAACGGGCTCTGTTTGAATCTCAGGCTGAGTTGCTGTGAAGAACAAATTAAAAGTAAAAAAAAATGAAATGTATTACAGTAATTTTACAGCTGATCTATTTCATTTTCTGTTCATTTTAACAAACCAGTTTGTTCCTAAAAAAATCATTAAGTTGAATATTGTTCCACCTATATAGAGGGAATTCTGTTCCTTTATTGTTGCAAAAAAAATGTTTTGTAAATGGAAATCTAGAAATGAAACTTTTAATAAGAATGAGAGTAACTTTGCTGTTTTTTTTCAGTTATTTTTTAAATTTCAATTTCTCGTTTCTTTTTTTTTTTTATTTAAGCAAAGGATATCTTTTTATATTTCGGTGTTTCAGATTGAGTTTGAGGAAGTCCCTTCTTTTTAAATAGTGTTTCAGAAATCACAATGTCAAGCCCAATACAAATGCTTTTGCTGGACAAAATATTGACCAATAAAAGAGAACAGAATTGGTAAAATACAATTTAAAAAAAGCGCAACTCATAAAACCTAAGTTTGGAAAACTAATTTCAATTTGTAAAAAAAAAAAAAAAATGTATTCTGTAAAAAATTTGGGGAAAAAATATATTTGAACAAAATAAAACATGAAAAATAAATCTGAAAAAAGAAAATGTGAGGAAACAGCAAAGTTACCCTTCTAACATTTATAAATTTCATAGATTGAGATTTATTGATTACATTTTTTCAAATGTCCATTTCCACTTTGCTGGCAACAATAATGGAACAAAATTAACTCCATACTTGCTCCTGAAACCATAAATCTACGTGAACTCACTTGAACCCAGGCCCACTTCCTCTTCCTCCTTCTCCTCCAGAGGAGGGAGCGTCTCTGGCGGCACCGTGGTCACTGTCAGCTTTGGTTTCTTGGTGGGTTTGGGCACCTTTGGCTTCTTTGTGGACTTTGGTGGCTTTGGTTTCTTGGTTGGCTTTGGGGTTTTAGGTTTCTTGGTGGGCTTTGGACCTTTCTGCTTCTTCGCTTTAGCCTCTCGCTCTGCCGCCTTCTTTGCTTTGGCTTCAGGGTAGACAGGAAGATAATCCGTTAATTGAAACCAGAATGAAGCATGCAAAATATGCCCACACAAAGCAGCTGTGTAACTTCTGTGAATATGTTTCCTTTTGTGTTATATGAGCATAAAAGGCTTTATTCCCAGCAAGTTTTCTTTTCTACAATCATCAATCTACATTAAAGAAAACATTTACAAACAGCTATTGCAACGCATACATAGAGAGCAGCCGGTGTGGAAGCAGCGCACCATGCTGGATCCTGACAGAGAGGATCCAGTGCAATTTAAAATTTGTTTCAGTTAGTCATGCGTATAATTATAAACAGAGTGATGTTTGCTTAGTAGAGAGGTAGAGTGGAGGTAGCGTAGAGGTAGAGTGTTGACAGCCCAAAAGAATGTTCACATTTTGGATAAAGTAAATAGATGGTTTGAGAAGGGTGTGAAGGAAGCCATCTATGTTAAGAAAGATAAACCAACTTTAAAAAGAGGGGGTTGGCTCAGGTTCCAGCTTTCAAAAACCTACAATGCAGCGATTCAGTTAATCCCTTCCTGTTATCATGGCAGCCCCAGCTCCTGTACATGAGAGAGGAGGACCTCGTCTATTCAGCCAGGCAAACAATCCCCTTTAACGACCGAACTTTCAGACACTTAGAAGGGTATGGGTTATTGCAGTCTAACAAAAAAAGCCTAACAACCCAAATACAAATGACCCCTTGGTCTGTTCCAATTTGCATGTTAAAATATCAGCTGATCCCGGTTCTGCCGGTTTCTTCCAGTTAAAGGGGAGTTTTTCCTCTCCACTGTCACTACATGCATGCTTGGTGTGAGGGATTGCTAAAGAGTCAATGACAAAATGCAATATCTACTGTCTCTACATGCATGCTTGGTGTGAGGGATTGCTAAAGAGTCAATGACAAAATGCAATATCTACTGTCTCTACATGCTCATCCAGGAGGAACAAATGTTACAAAAAAATGACTGGATGCAATCAACTGGTTTTCCTCACCAATCTGACAGTATTGTCTCTGTAAAGTGCCTTGAGATGACATGTGTTGTGAATCGGTGCTATATAAACTGAATTGAATTAAATTCATTAGAGTCGAACAGCTTAGAGTATTTTTTTTCTCTTCTCATTGTATAGTTAAAGTTTTGTCCAATTATATGTTATAACTAAACCTTGCAGACAGGAAACCTTGAAAAACTCAAAAAAGAAAGCGTAGCTAAGTTGCACCTATTTTATACACACAAATGTTACCTTTTTTATTTATAAAAATGTTAAATAATGAAATTCTTGATCAAACCAGCTCTGGTCTCTGCTATGTTAAATCTCTTGTATTGCCTTTTTGTTTATTACGTTTCTCATAATCTTTTCCTAATAGATAAATTCATAATTTTAGTTCCAATGAAAAGAACTGCTCTCTTTGTGGTTTCTTATCTCGTCCTGTTGCCATGCTGGATCCATTAATCAGGGCTTCTATTATGCAACATGTTAGCCCTAAACTCATCCTGAATTAACTCAGTCGAGTTCGCTGATTGATCACCTGTTCTAAAACCAGAAAATCCTGCATAACGTATGGCTCAGCTCTCCTTCTGTCAGATTCTAACTACTTCTTCTCTTTTCTCTGTTTATTGTTGCATAAAGTGGCATTATTTACATGAAGTGGGGAGGATAAGTTTGGCTGTTTTCTTCCCTCCCTGCAAGAGTTTACTCCTATGTGCTATTTTCCCTTATTTAAATTAAACATGTGTTTAATGTATACAGGGGTGGATTTAGGAAATTTGGGGCCCTAGGCAAAGACAGAAAGGGACCCTTTGAATTGAGAAGGCAACACATAAAACAGACCCATTATACAGATGTTTATAGAATAGACATCCATTATTTGTTCTACGTTTTGTCCCTCTCTTCTTGTCCCTTTTATTGTTGTTTTTCTCTCTATGTTTTGTACTCAGCTGACTTTTCATGCTGTCTCACAAGAATTGATTGATTTTTTCTTATCACTAAGCCTATTCTACCTTTGCTGATTGCTCTTTCCCGTGTTTCCAAAAAGGCGACGGTAAAAGTAAATAACCCAGTCCTTCTTTTCACTGCAGACAAGCCATGATCTGCTTATCTGTTCTCCATTTTTCATTTCGATGAAATAATAGCTGCATGAATCATGACAGCAGACAAGATAGAGGAGAGCAGGAGGCGGGATTACCAATCTACTTGCTCTGGAGAGCAGAGTTCGCTGCTTTTAGATGTTGTAGCCAAAGTTTCCAGTAACAGGAGGGTGCTTTTTTTATAATAAAATCATGGGAGAGGTCCGGAAAGTCAATAAATATAGCAACAAAAGTGCTAAGTTTGCAAAACTGCTGTTTGTTTTCAAACAGTTTGCTGCTGTCTGTTTGGACCTTTCTGCACATGCATAGAAAATGGACTGATCCAATATGGTGGACACTGAAAGGGGCCCCCCCTGAGACACACTTAATATATAAGCATTCTGATGGCATTTTAAGGAAAGTATTTTTATCAAAAACATAATTATTGTGCACAAATAAGTAATAGCTGTATTAACTATACACGTAAAAGGAGTTTTATGGGGCCCTCAGGAACGTGGGATGGATGTATATAAAGTGTTTAGCATATTACGGTAATCTCTTTTGGAGTTGCTGATGACTTTTGGACATTATTTTTCTGTCACAACATTAAAGGGCTCATCCCGATTAAAGACACATCATCTATTTGGAGATTTATTATGCTTTGAAAGTCTAAAATTATGCGCCTCGTTGCAGATTGTTGGTTTGATTTGTAGGTTTAAGCCGACAAAAGAGAACCATCTAATTTGTTTAATGTTTGTTTAAAACAGCCTCCAGGTGGGCAGGAAAGGTCTGGAAGGTGGGTAGAAATTGCTGCTCTGTCAGAATATGGAGTCATGTGACGGAAGGCAACATTCCCCACTTAAAAAGTTCAATACAATAAAACCACAGAAACACAGAAATACTACAAAGTATTAAAGAAACTCAAAATCATCGACTCATCTGATGGACAGATATTTGTGGATTATATTACCTAAATGCAATTATTTATTTATTTGTTGAAATGATTGATGCTTTATATCTTTAGATATCCTCGATTATTCCTATTTTAATTTGTGTTACTCTTTATTAGTTTATAGAAGAAGGGATGCATTTGGTGATTGTAAAAACTATTTCCATGAGAAATTTCTAACTGCAGCAGAAAAACAACATAAAACAAGGGGCCTCATTTGGTCTGTATTAAATTCCTGCACAACCTGGCTAACAACGTGACAACATATCACATTACATAACGGTGCTCAGAACAATCATGATTTTTTTCCCCCACTCATTAGTAGTGTTGCACCGATGCCATTTTTTATGCAGTATCGGCCGATATAGATACCATACAGATACAATCTGTTTGAAATTGATGTGTGTGTGTCTATATGAAGAACTGCATACTACTTGGATGTAAAATAATTACCATCATGGCTTTGTCAAGCTGCTGCTTACCTTTATGAAGCAGGACAAAGACTAATAAAAAGGGAATCCAGTAGAACTTTTTATTGCCTACCTGGAATGGGTGACAATAGTTGACGGAAACTTTTGGCTCTCAGAATGGTATCTGTGCCCTATTTGTTGGTACTCGCCAATACCAATACCACCATTTTAGTGCTGGATCGGGGCTTCGCCCGATACTGGTATCCGTGCAACACTACTCATTAGCTAAGATCTGCACAATAAAGTGTTGAAAATGGCGTCTCTTTTTCTTTAAGAACTTGTTGATTTTAGAGCCTTTTGTTAGAAGTCAATTAAATGCTTTATCTCTTTGAATATCTTTTAAAATTATGCATTAATTAAATCATCAGATTTTAATATTTTGGCAAGAACTGAATTAGATTAATGTGGAGCATTTTCATTTTTCTATTGTGTTTACAGCTTGAAGTTGGCCTGTTTCGTATTAATTGCTCCCTGATATATCGTATCTGGACACATATTCAATGCAAACAAAAAAATTATGGAGCGCAGAATGTATTAATGTAGCAAAGAATATTTTCATTGCAAATGTCTATTATTGATAGGCTTTCTTTAAATGCTGCGCAATTTCTCTTTTATTTAGATGCAAACGTTTGATAACAAATCTAAATATCTTTCTAAATAATAAATCTATATTTATGATTTCTACATCTTTTATCTATATATGAAAGTTATTTATTTTTTATTCTCAATGTATATCTAAATCATACATCTGATAAAATGTAATGCATTTACATATCATAAATCTGAATCTAAATATAGATCTAATGTGTTTTTTATATATATATATACATGTTTTATTTAAACAGGACTGCTTTGTCCTGCAATAACACTTTTCTGGATATTTTTTTAAGTTGTTGTTTCAAAAAGATTTACTTGATTTTTTTTTTTTTTATCTTGTGTGTGCAACTAAAATACATTGTTCACCCATTAACAGAATGACCATAAATGCCTAAAAAAGCATTAAAATTAGCTGCTGTTCTTTAAACCTTTGGAGCAGGCTTCCCCAAAGTCAGTCCTTGAGGGCCTCTGTCCTGCAGGTTTTAGAGGTTTCCCTGCTGCAGCACAGCTGATTTACCTAGATAGCCGATTAACAGGCTTTTGCTGAACTGCAATCATCAGAATCAGCCAAAGCGGAGAAACCTCTAAAACCTGCAGGACAGAGTCCCTCGAGGACTGGGGAGGCTGCAAATCTGGAAGCACTGCAAACATCCCCCAGATGAGAGATGATAGTTAAGAAAACATGTTAAGAAGAATTTCTCTCTCAAGGCTTATATCTTACAAATCTTATAGTGTCTTATTTGCTTTTTTTTTTTTTTCATGCAACCCTAAAATATATCATAATGATTACTGTTCAGAATTCTGCATTTCCGCAGGAGGTGAGAGGATTCCCATTAAAAAGATGTTTAACAACTTTTGTAGCAAAGAATCTCATCCTGTTTCCACACTAATTCTTTCCATCTTGATGCTTACT